GCCGCGGAGCGGCTGGGCCCGTGAGCCATGGCCGCTGAGCCTGCGCGTCCGGAGCCTGTGCTCCGCAACGGGAGAGGCCACGACAGTGAGAGGCCCGCGTACCGCAAAAAAAAAAAAAAAAAATAAGGAAAAGGAGACTAATTTTGTTTAAGAATCTTCATGGAAACTAAGAATGCTGGGGTCCTGAAAATGCCTCAGAAAACATAGCTACTTAGTGTGTAGCTCTTTGTTCAGTCTGAAAATTCTGTCCATATTCTTACAGTTACAGGAAGAATAAACATTACAAATTCACATAGAGTGAAGAAATATCTCTTTAAGTAGGTTGTATTATGGATGCTACAAAAGATATCAGGAATGTGTGTGGAGGGGTTCTTTTCCTGTCTTACACAATCGCAATACAGTATTTTTATGTCCTTTTTGTACAGCGCAAGTGTATGCAGCCCAAAGATTTTACTCCTAAAACACCAGAAAATGATAAAAGACTGCAAAAGAAGTTTGAGAAAATGGCTAAAGAGCTGCAACAGCAGAAAACCACTCTGGGTAAGCTGAGAAATGTAGATCAGTCCCTGGTGCTTGTGTCTGTCCTTCTGAAGCAACAAGAACCTTTAGCCTACACAGTGCCACCTGATGCCTTTCCAGAACATTGGCTCAACCCTTTGTTCTTGTGCTCGGTCATCCCACTGCTTGATGAATCGAGTCTCTCGGTGCTGTGCTGGTGCCTCCCTGACAAATACTGCATGACCGTCTGGTCTGCTGCCCCAGACAGACACGGAGCTCTCCTTGGCATCTGTCCGCCCTGGTGCCTGTCACCCCCCTGGACCCCAGACCTGCTCTGAAGTGGTCTCCCAACTCCTCCTCTGCCCTCTTCGCCCAAGCCTGCGGCACCCCACGTGGGCGTCTGGCAGCTCCTTGGCTGGCCTTCCAGCCGCTGTGTCCTTAGCCTCCACCTCCCTGCTTCAGTCAGAAGGGTGTACGTCCGAGCTCACGTGGCCGCCCCTCCCGGGCTTTAACGGTCCTCAGTGTCGTCCTAAGGAAAAGATACTTAGGGTAACATACTGTACCTCACGTGTCCTACAGCCGACCACGTCCTATCTGATCTGCCTGTCCTGCAGCCTCACCTCAGCTCTGCCCCCTCTGCTGTCAGCCTTCATACCTCTGCCATTTGGCCATCTTTCCTGCACCAGTGATAGTGTATTTGGAAAGAATTCAGCAAAATGGTAATGATAGATTTTAAAAAGTTCTCTTTTTAGACCAAATTTATGTCTGAATTGTCTTTTAAAAACTACAACTATAAGGTATTAAAGATTCAACTAACGTATGTCTGCATATTGCCAGAAGTGCAGTAAAAGTTGTGCAGGCCTAAGAGTTGCAAAGGAGAGGCTATTGAATGATTTGTGGTCTGTTTTTTTAAGCGGGGGGGCACATGTGGTCAGGGTCCTAAAGTTCTTTCATTACCTGCAAGGTGTGGATTCCAGGAAGCATACCACTGTTCACCCCACCACTGAGCCCCTTACTTCATGGCTCAAGGATCCCCTGACCCCCTTCCTGCCGCCGAGTTCATGTGCGGGTCTGTGTGTGTGTCTGTCAAAAGGGAAGAGGAGGGCTTCCCTGGTGGCTCAGCGGTTGGGAGTCCGCCTGTCGATGCGGGGGACGCGGGTTCGTGCCCCGGTCTGGGAGGATCCCACGTGCTGTGGAGCGGCTGGGCCCGTGAGCCGTGGCCGCTGGGCCTGCGTGTCCAGGGCCTGTGTTCCGCGGCGGGGGAGGCTGCAGCGGTGGGAGGCCCGCGTACTGCAAAAAAAAAAAAAAAAAAAAAAAAAAAAAAGGAAAAAAAAAAAAAAGGGAACGGTTGTCAAGGAAGAATTAGTCAAAAATTCAAGAGAATAGTCAAAGTTCAAAACATATAGCTATGAAAGGAAAAGCAGTTGTTCCTACTTCAATACCATCTAAGAGCATTAATGGGCAATACTGAAAATTATAATAGTGTCTCCATGTCCTGTAACAAAATATCAAAACCTGCTTAGTAAGTTCTACATTTAAAAGGTAGTGAGGCTCGTGATGAATTGATTATTAATTTTGCTATGAATTTCTAAACTTAGATTGGCAAATTTCAATTGTATTTACCTGTTTGAGCAACTCTTTTTATGATTGCTATTGAAAAATTTACTTTCCTTTCATTATCTATTACCTTCTTACATTTTCAATACTAACTAACCCTTTAGAATATGTTTCTTTATTAGTTGTAAAAAAATAATTTAACTTCTATTTACTGTGTGGCTACATTTTAAATCTTTAACGATTCTTGAAGTTGGAATACATTTTTCAAGGCTTTTTTTTAACTTTATAAAAACTAACACTGAGCTGTTTTCATTGCAGAGAGAGGAAATAAAATATTGCTGATATAGCAAATCTCTTTTTTTGCTGAGTCTTTTATCCATTTTGGTCAGTGGTACATACTGGAGTCTTTAAATTATTTTTTTTTCTGTTCATATAACCATGATGTATAATGAATTGGACATTAAGCTGAATGAATGTACTTACTTATAAATGTATTTATTTATTTAGATCACTAACTAAACTAATCTAGTACCCTAACTGACCTCAACTACACTCCTGGGGAACTGGATATATTTCTAAACAGATGGGAATTTGGCCAAGAAACACTCTTTGGTTTTCTCTACCAAGCATATTTATAAATGGAAATGTAAAAGAAAAAGAAAAAGAAAAAAAAAAAAGGCAAGAAAAAAAAAAGGGAAGAGGAACCCATGGAGTAGGGGACAGGGGTGTCCTTAAGAGGAATCATATTGTTGAAGGAGGAAGGCATTTTTTTGAGATTAAAACTGGATTTTTGTTTCTTTTCAGATAATGATGTTCCTGTTCTCTTGTTTGAATCTAATGGCTCCTTGGTGTACAGTCCCACAGTTAAAATCTGCAGTGGCCACCACAGTGCAATGGAAAAGAGACTGCAGGAGATGAAGAAGAAACGGGAGAATCTTTCCCCCACCTGTAAGTGACACTTCATATGATGGAAATTACAAAGTAGGTGAATAAATTGTGGAAAGGGTTTTTTTTTTCCCTTTACATAGATATTTTAGTTAATTTAGATTATAATCACTTTTTTTTACCTCTGTCAGCGTAGACTTTGTTGATATTTTCTTCCAGGCATAATAAATAAATAAATCTTATGCTTTATTAAGATTTTTAAAGAGTATATTGGGTATGTAGTATTCTCCAGGTTTAAAATCCTGTTGTTCCTTTGTAAGTTTTCATATATTTGGGATTTTTTAAAAAAATTAATTGGGCCCCTCTTTTGAAGGAATTTGCTTTAGATTAAGTAATGCTTCAGTTTGTTTTCCTTTATTCCTTTTATCTTGAAAGTTTTTAAGTAATATACAGGCACATTTTCATAAAACGTTGACCAGTAGTACATCGTTTGTAGTAAACATCCATCTTGATTCCCACCTCATTCTCCTCTGCCCCTGGGTAACCCGTGTTTTATGTTGATGTGTTTCTCCAGATCTTTTTCAGTGGGTCACCATCTGTATACATGAAAAAGATAAGACTTCTGTATTTTTCTCTGTGGTGGTATAACTTTTCTTTACCTAAATTGGATCATGGCATACCTCTTATTTTCAGCTTTCTTTTTTTTACTGAAAAGTGTATTGGTGTGGACCTACATCTTTTTTTTATTTTTAATTTTTAAAGATGTTGCATAGTAGTCTAGAGTTTTGATATTGAATCATCTGTTGGTGGATATTTTTCCATTTTTTCTTTTTTTTCTTTTTAATTTTTGGCTTCGCTGTGCAGCTTGCAGGATCTTAGTTCCCCGATGAGGGAGGGGATTGAACCGCAGGCCCCAGGAGTCCTAGCCACTGGACCAGCCAGTGAATTCCCCCAATTTTTTTTATTAGAAACAGTGCTGCAGTTTTTATTCTTTTTAACTACACGGTATGGTGGTTCTTGTTTTTTTGTAACCGTTTTCCTCTCTGGACATAAGGATTTTCCCCCCACTGTTTACTGTTATAACCCACACGCCAGTGGACATGCTTCTATATGAATCTTTACGTTCCTCTGTATTTCATGTATCGAAATAATAATTCATAAAGGCAGAATTTAAAAATTTTGGTAGATATTGTCAGATTGCCCTTCAAAAAGTTTGTGTCATTTTACCCTTTGCCAGCTGTTTATAAGAACTGCAGTTTCACACCCTTGGGAACCTAGGTTAAGATACACGAGCTCTGTTTGTTACAATGCAGTGACTTGCGAAACAGAAATACTACGTTTAAGGTAGACAAATCTGTTCTGTTTGTCTTTTCCTTCTGGCCTCTAGGATTCCTGTGATGCTTAGAACTCCTCCACCACAAGCTTTCAAAACTGTTGTATTTTCTGCTCTTACTTGTATGGTTTATTTTTAAGGTAACTATAGTTGTTTCAACTGTCCTGAATTTATATATTTATGCAGTGGGCATTTGTATCAGTTAAGGTTAGTTGTGGTCGCGATAACGGATAAATGCAAAAACCAATGGCTGCACTTAGATAGAGTTGTGTTTCTCCGTCCTGACAAAGAAGGAGGCAGGCAGGGTTCGGGGAGGTTGTTCTGTGGTGTCTTGGAGAGCGGGCTCCCAACCTCCTGCCTGGCTTCCCTGGAGCCAGCTCCCTGTGAGCAGCCTCACCAGCTCCTGCCGCTGCCGCTGCCGAGCTCTGCTGGCTAGAGCGCCGTCCTGTGGCTCTTCCTGCTTACAAGCTAAGTGCGGCCGTGTGTGGCCCAGGAGCTACAAAGGCAAAACACCACTCTGGATGAGCCAAGAAATACAATACAGTTCTTTGTGTTTGTACATCTAATTTAATCTGCCAGTTTAATTTAAAATGGGCAGTGGCGTTCAGGATGGCATAGCTAAGGGGACTGCAGTAGTTTTAGCCTAGGAAGTAGGAAACAAAATACAAGTCACCTGCAAGGCACTGCAAGCAAGACTGAAGTGTAGTCTTAACTAGGGTGTGTGTCTGCACTCATAAAATCAGGGTCTGTTGCAAGAGGCAGGTGGGAATGGCCATTGAGCTAGGTAACTAGCAGTGTTCCAGGGGACTGTCCAGATTGTTTTGACAAATCATTATATATGTGTGCAAACTAATTTGCCTTGAACTTTATCCCACTACTTTACAGTGTTAATTCTGCTACGTAAATGCCTCCCACAGTTAAGTTTAAATTCAGCAGTCGAAAATGTTATCTGTGTGCTTACCTTTCTTATCTTGGTTTATTCTCATTTCCTAATTGTTCGCCCAAGTTTTCTCAGAAGTGTATCCTTTTAAGTCTCCTCAAAAAACATCTCTGGGGGGGCTTCCCTGGTGGCGCAGTGGTTGAGAGTCCGCCTGCCGATGCAGGGGACACGGGTTCGTGCCCCGGTCCGGGAGGATCCCACATGCCGC